AGGCAGCTGAGGACTGGGGGGCGGGTGCGCTCTGGCACCCACAGAAGGGGGCCTCCTCCCGCCAGGCCACAGCGCCAGCCGGAGTGGCGTGGGCCCCCTTCCCACGCGCGTTTTCTGTCTTCTGTCGTGGCCCCAGCGTGGGACTCTGTGCGGGGCAGGCTCCTCCAGAGCCTCCGCTCCGGCTGTGAGCTCAAGCCCACACAGGGCTGGACTGCTCCGAGGGGTGCAGCCCCCCACAAAGCCTCGACTTCCCCAACCTAGAGCACCAGCCTGCCTCCGACCCCATCTCTCTCCTCACGATGATTGGCTCCGGCTGCTTTAAACATGTCTTAAAATGAATAACTAACACTTAAAAGTGGGGGGTCTCGTATGAAATGATTGAAAAATCCTAAGTTCTGCCAACACAGAGCCCCCAGGTGCAGGGCATGGTCAGAGGCCTGCGGAGTGACAGCCTACTCACACACACACACACACACACACACACACACCCGTGCAGGGCATGGTCAGAGGCCTGTGGAGTGACAGCCTACCGTCCCGCCTCCCACCGGGCCCACTTCCGGGTGGCACCCTGCCTGGCCCTGTGGGTCTCCAGCCCGCACCGAGCACCCCATCCAGGTCTGGGGGAGGCGAGCCTGAAGGGGACAGCGTCAAGTGGGGTCAGCAGTGGGGAATTTCACTTTTTTGAGGCTAAAATAACCACAGACATGAAAGCTCCCGTCCAGTGGCTCGGGCCTCATTCCCACCGAGCAGAGGGCGGCCTTGCCCACTGTGCTTCCTGGCACACCTGGCTCCTGGCGTCACCAGTGGGTGGGGAGGGACACGCCTAACTGCCCGGGGACACGCTGGCCGTGGTGGACTGGGAGCCCTCCGTGTGGCTGCCTCGCTCAGTGTCCTGGCTGGCCAAGCTTGGGGACTCTGCCTGCCACAGGCAGGAGGAAAGAGAGGCCCCTGGGGGCCGTGGGGAGGGGCCCCTCAGGGAGAGGAAACGAGGGGCAGTGGGGGGGCCAGGGCAGCAGCCTCGGTGTCAGACTCTGGAGAGGGGCTGCCAGCTGAGGGACCTCCCGGAGGCGGCCCGTGGAGTAGGGAGAGGCCGGCAGACTTCACCCCCTTGAACCCTGGTCTTGGGTTGGGTATCAGGGGGGACAGATCAAGAGGAAGTCCAAGGAGATGCGGGGTGACCCAGGTCCCTGCCTGACAGGGTGGAGGGCTCTGAGGCAGGAGATGTTAGCTTTTGTTTCATCTGCCCCTCCCCGCCCCGTTGGGTCTTTGCCTGGCTCTGGGCCCTGCGGTGTCCTCCCTCCACATTGCCAGTGGATTCAGCTAAGGGCCCCGCTGGTGGGATGGGATGCGGAGGACAGGGCTGGGGTGTCCCTCCCCGTCACAGCCCACCAGTGGCCCATCTCCACGCCTGCAGCTCTCGGGCCGACATCCTCTCTGCCCCAGAACCTCCTGGTCCAGGTGCATCTCGGGGCTCCGCCCCTGGGCCCCCGGGCCCACACTGCTCCCATTAGCTCTCCTACATTCAGGTCCTCTCCCCGCACCACCCGGGATGGAGGCTGGCAGCTGGGCCCCGTGGCTCACTAGGCCCTGAGAGACACGTGCCGAGGCTGGGAGGACCTGCTGGGGGCAGAGGGCTGTGGATTGAGGCAGGAAGGAGGATGGGGGCGGGGGGTGTCCCAGGGCAGTGGGGGGAGGGAGGTTAGCACGGTGGGGACCGGCAAGAGCAAAATGGAGAAGGCCTGCAGGACTCACCGCATTCCCAGGACAGCCCGTGGGACCAAACACGGGAGTCCAGGCTCAGCCAAGGCACCAAGCCCACCCACAGGACACGCAGTTAGGCCACTGAGGGCTCTCAGAACTCAATGACAGTCGTGCGGACAGTGACGAGAGCCCCTCGATACAAGTAGAAACGACAGCAAAGGGGTTTCTGTGTTAGGAATAATTGGGAATCGAGAAGGGATCTGATGCGTTTTTATTGATTTCAGAGAGGAAGGGAGAGGGAGAGAGAAAGAAATATCAGTGATAAGAAATCATGGATCGGCCGAAACCGGTTTGGCTCAGTGGATAGAGCGTCGGCCTGCGGACTGAAAGGTCCCAGGTTCGATTCCGGTCAAGGGCATGTACCTGGGTTGCGGGCACATCCCCAGTGGGAGATGTGCAGGAGGCAGCTGATCGATGTTTCTCTCTCATCGATGTTTCTAACTCTCTATCTCTCTCCCTTCCTCTCTGTAAAGAATCAATAAAATATATTTAAAAAAAAGAAAAAAGAAATCATGGATCGTCTGCCCCTGCACTCCCCACACTAGGAATGGAGACCGCAACCAGGGCATGTGCCCTGACCGGGAATTGAACTGTGACCTCCTGGTTCATAGGTCGATGCTCCACCACTGAGCCACACCGGCTGGGCTGGTGCCACTCTTTGGCACAATGGACTGGGGGCGAGATGTGCCTGTCCTGCCAGTTGCCTGCCTCTTCGAGGGGCAGCTGATGAGCCGAAGACAAGAGCATAGAGGAAGGGCCCAGCCCACTGAGGCCTCTGCCAACACGAGGTGCCGAGGAGAGGGAAGGCGAGCGGGCCTGGATCAGGTGGGTCTGCCCTCCACCCAGCTGCTCACAAAAGGGGAGCAGACTGGCAGTGTAGCCCCGGGGCAAGGCCTGCCCGGGGCCTGTGTACCCCACAAGGGAAGGAAGCGGCAAGAACGAGAACAGACCCACCCTGGACGCTGCCACTTGGCCCCGCCAGCATCTGACCTGTCAGCAGCTCTCTTCCCTGGGGGGCTGGCAGTGGACTGGGCCCGGGGCAGCGGGGGCAGCAGCATCCAGGCCACAGAGTCAGCCTCAGCTCCAGCTCCTCCTGCAAGGCTGCAAGGTGACACCTGGGCTGGGCTGGGGCGGGGGGAGCAGTGAGGCACACACTGAGAGCCATGGGCCAGGGGCCGAGGGAAGCAGAGGTGAGGTGACATTTCAGCCTGGCCTGAGAGAGCTGGAGCCTGGCATGCAGTGGGGCGGGGAGGCCTGGCCTGGGCAGGAGCCTGGAGGAGGGGTGTTTGGGGCAAGTCTGAGGGGCCAGGCCTTCCCATGGCCAGAGCCTCACACCTCGGCGGGGACCCGTTGTCAACAATCAGCCACCAAAGGCATCAGGCAGGGCGTCAGGTCGAGATTTCCCAAGATGGCCAGCGTCCAGGTAGATGGCAGGGAGCTGTCCAAAGGCTGCCGAGGTGACCCAGCTGGAAAGTGACATGGTTTCAAGATGACCAAGTGTCACTGTTCAGGCTGCTGTAACACAGATATCTTAGACTGGGCGGCTGGAACAACAAACATTTCTCTCTCGTGGCTCTGGAGTCTGGGGACCCCCAGGCCAAGGTGCAGGCAGGTTGGGTGCCTGGTGAGGACCACATCCTGGTTCAGAGCTGGACCTCGCTGTGTTCCTCTGCGGTGGGAAGGACAGGTGCTTTTATGAGGGCGCTAATCCCGTTCAGGAGGGCCCCACCCTCGTGGCTTAATCACCTTCCAAAGGCCCCGCCTCCTAATGCCGTCACCTTGAGGGTCAGGATTTCAAGATACAAATGTGAGGTAGACGGGGACAGTCAGTCTGTAACACAAGGTGACAGAGTGAAGCTGGGGACATGGGAACTGTTTGGGGGAACCTGACCAACCCTGGTTCTGTGAACCTTGACCCATTGTGAAGGGCGCTGCCCAGCACCCTTCCAGAGAGAGCGCCTCCTGCCCACCCCCCTCAAGGGGCCCAGACCTACCCAGGCCTGAAGTGTGTCCTAGCTTCCTGCCGGCATGCAGGGCAGGCTGGGAGAGAGGCCACCTGGGGCAGGGAGAGGGCCAGGCTGGGGTTGCCAGAGGGCAGAAAGGAGGTGCAGGTGGAGATGACAGGAGTGTCCAGCAAACAGAGACAGAGGGTCAAGTCCAGGCCCCTGCAATGAAGCAGAGAACCAAGCAGGGGCAGGGTCTGGACGGCAGACAGAGGAAGGATGGTGTGCGCGCTTGTGTGTGTGTGTGTGTGTGTGTGTGTGTGTGTGTGAGAGACAGATTCTCAACTTGACCAAACTTTTAGTCTGAGCCTCATCGCCATGAGGCCCCCACTTTTGGGCGTCCGTGTGTCTTCTCATCACCCAGTTTTAGCAAAAATCCTGTCAAGTCAGTCCGGCCAGAATCCCGCCCGGATATCTGATTGCCTTTCATACCTGACCACGGGGCTCACCCTGGAGTCCCCCAGTTGGGTGACTGCTCCCCCTGGCCTGCCTCCAGCAAGAATCCCGCCAGGTCTGTTCCGCCAGAACCCCCCCACCGCTGTGCTTCTCCCCCCTTAGGAATTCTCCACCCACCAGCTCCCCCACACCCTGCTCCTCGGCGTAAACCCCCACCTGGCCTTGCCGGATTCTCTCCTGAGGCCTCTTTCCCTGATGGCACCGGGTGGGGGATACAGTGCTCTCACCACTTTCCTGCCTCACTGCATGGGTCTCCTCATGACGGTGCCCTGCCCGCTCCCATGCTGGGCACATGGGGCCTGGGTGGGGACACCAGTCACCACCCCTCTGTGCCAGGCTCTTTGCCAGCCCCCACCCGTTTGAGAGCCCAGGAGGAGCCCAGGAGGGCTTCCTACAGGAGGGGACATCTGAGAGCCATGTGGGGTGAGCTCTGTCTAGCTCAGGCCAGCCCGCCAGGCAGTGCTCACCCCAGGGGGTCGGGGCAGAGGGAGGCGCCTCCAACAGAGTCCTGGACTTGAGTCCCACACGCCCCCGAGGCCTCGTGCCTGCCATGTCCGTGTCCCGGCTGGCGAGCCACAGGAAGGCTGACACCCAGACCGGGCTTCACGACAATGGCGGGGCTGACAGCCCCCCCACCCCCCGCACGCAGCATGGCGGGCAGCGCTGAAACGAGGCCCCCGACGCTGCCGGTGAGCTGTTGCATGAGCACATTTCCATATGCCTCCCCAGGCGGTTCACAGACACGTAACAGGGACAGGGAAACTATTAACTGGGAGGGACCGCGTCGAGGCTTGTCCTCAGGAGATGCCAAAATGGCCTCTTCAAGCGCCTCCCCTCGGTCCCCAGCTCTCCCCTCGGTCCCCAGCTCACCCCTCAGTCCCCAGCAAGCCCTAGCCGGTGTGGCTCAGTGGATAGAGCGTCGGCCTGCGGAACAAAGGGTCCAGGGTTTGAGTCCGGTCAAGGGCACGTACCTTGGTTGCAGGCTCTCATCCCTGGTCGGGGTGCATGCAGGAGGCAACCGATCAATATGTTTCTCTCACACCGATGTTTCTGTCTGTCTTTTCCCTCTCCCTAAAAATCAATGGAAAAACATCCTCAGGTGAGGATTTAAAAAAAAATTTCAGAGGTAAATACACAGACAGGACAATGCGTTTCTCCACTTGTTTATTTTCTGTTTCTCACCTACCAACACGTTTGCGGAACGTAGCAGGTTGTGTTAGTAAAGGAGAAGCCGGGAGGAAAGAGGGCAGGACGCACGCGGCCCACAGGTAGGACAGGACGCCAGGAGCAGGCAGCGCTGGGGGCGGCAGTGGGGGGCAGCCTCCCCACCCACCTGCCTCCCATGGACATCAGCGACCCCCAGATGATTCTGTAAATGTAAAGGGCATTTTTGGTGTCTCAGTCCTTGTCCCCAACATTCTCCCTGGACCCCCAATGATGAGGCAGGTCTGCTCAGGCCAGCCCCCTGCACAGCCTGGCCCAGGAGACCCCGTGCCCCAGGGCCCTAACCCCAACCTCAGTTGCTGGGCAAACGTCTGAGAAGCCTAGAGCTACAGGCCTGCAGGGAAAGGGGGGAATCCCAGAGCTCTTTCCAGGGGGATCACTCCTTTGGACCTTGGACAGCTCTCCCAGAATGCCCTCTGCTTCAGCCATAGGCTTCTATTCAAGAGGGCGCTGCCCGTCCGGTGTGGCTCAGTGGTTGAGCACTGGCCCTTAACCAGGTCACAGTTCCATTCCCGGTCAGGGCACAGGCCCGGTTTGCAGGCTCCATCCCCAGTAGGGGGCGTGCAAGAGGCAGCCGCTGATCAATGATTCTCCTCTTTGAAGTTCTATCCCTTTCTCCCCCTCCCTTCCTCTCTGAAATCAATAAAAACATTATTTTTATTTTCAAAAGAGGACACGGGGACACACAGCAGAGGCTACAGCTTCCCTCCCACGCTGGCGAGGAGCGGTGGCCCTGGAGGGAAGGCTCCACCTCCCGCCCAGAGCAGGACTTCCTGGCATTTGCACATTGGCCCAGCGGGCACCCCGACCCTGTGTTCAAGAACACACACGCTGAAGTCGGGGTTCTAGCCACCCCGACGAATTTCACTGGAGAAAGTATTTTCAGGGCACACGCCACTGAGGACTTGTCGCGCCTTGATCCGCCTTCTGCTGGTCAGACAAGTGGCCGTTCTCCCCTATTTCCTCGAAATAATTTTCACCGGATCAAGTCCTTTTCGCGTGCATTTTGCCAGGTATGTTTGATCCCCTGGTTAGTGTTCGATCCGTGCCCACTGTCACCAACGGTCCCACGGGCCCCTGAAAGTTTTCTCGGGTGGCTCTCATCTCAGAATCCAATGTGCCCAGGCTGGCACGTTGGCGGCCTTCGGTACCCAGTGCGACGTGTGCCTGTGTGTGTGCTCACGTGCAACATCTGTGCGGTGCCAGCCACGCTGGCTTCTCGCCGGAGCGTTTCTGAGGGTGAATATATCCCACCCTTTTCCACGCGCGATTCGAGGATACCCCAAAGGGCCCCGGAGCGGGGCCAAGACGTCCCAATCAGAAGAGCCGGCTCCTCCCTTCACGGAGCCTTGCCCCCGCCCGCCGCCGAGCGTGTGGAGCGGAGCAGGGCCAG